TTAGAGAAGGACTGAGAGAGAGAGAGAGAGCACAAGTGGGGGAGAGGGGCAGAGGAGAGAGAGGGAGAATCTTAAGCAGGCTCCATACCTAGCATGAAGCCCAATGCAGGGCTCGATCCCACAACTCAGGATCATGACCTGAGCTGAAATCATAACCTGGATCCTCAACCGACTGAGCCACCCAGGTGCCCCAGTTGTAGTGATTTTCTTTCTAGTACCAATCTCTTAACCATCAAGATTAACCTTGAAAGCTTAAATATAGAAAAAGGAGAATTTATAGCATTTAATTTCTCTTCAAACATTCACTTCCACAGTAGTGAGCCTTTCTCCTCCATTGTTTGCATCTAAGGCAGAAAATTATGTCCTGTTAGTTGCTGTTGGACTGTGCTTTTTAGAGACAAGCAAAAAGCATAAGAGCAGACATTCTGAGCCAGCGCTACCAGTCCATCCAGCCCAGGAAACACGTAGCCCAAATCTTCTCTATATTCCCTCTACCTTCAAAAAAAAAAAAAAAAAGTACTGCCTTTGACTCAGCGTCTCAACTTTTGGTAAATTTATTCTAGACATCCACTTGCATATGTATAAACTAGAATTATATATAACTATACTATAAACTATTACATATAAACTAAATTATATATAATTTAATATATTTATATATATTATATATAAATTATATTAAAGTCTGCTAAGATAAAAGCTAAACTGTGGAGATGTTTATGTAAGTGGTGAAACTATAAGGAATAATGAGGAAATAATTACTAAAAAAGTTAGAATAGTGTTATTTCTAGATACAGGGAGAGATCTGGAAGGGGACCTGTGGAGGATGCTTCCGGAGTGCTGGATATGTTTTATTTCTTGACATGGATGATGGCTACATAGTGTTAGCTTTATTTTTACTCCTTAAACTATATAGAAATGTTTTGTGTACTCTTTTATATGAATGAGCTCTCTCATGATTTAAAAATATCACAGTCCAGGGGCACCTGGGTGGCTCAGTTGGTTAAGCATCTGGCTCTTGATTTCGGCTCAGGTCATGATCTCATGGTTCGTGTGTTTGAGCCCCAAGTCGAGCTCTGCACTGATAGTGTGGAACCTGCTTGGGATTCTCTCTCTCTCTCTCTCTCTCTCTGCCCTTCCCTTGCTTGTTTTCTCTCTGTTTATCTCTCAAAATAAATAAATAAACATTAAAAAAAATCACAGTCCAAGGGTTCCTGGCTGGTTCAGTTGGTAGAACATGTGACTCTTGATCATGAGTTCAAGCCCCACGTCAGGCATAGAGCTTACTTAAAAAAAAAAAAATCACAGTCCATTCAAACAGTGAAATACTCTACAGGCATTAAAAAGAACAAGACAGCTCTCTATGCCTGGGTGTGGAAGGGATTTAGGGGAAAAATAGAACCAGAAGGAAGTACAATGTATTTAGTTTGCTACCTTCTGCGTACAATTTTTAAAATAATATATCTGCCTTTTTGTGTCTGCTCAGACTATCTCTAGAAAAATTCACAAGAATCAGGTAACGAGGAGGGTAGCCTCTGGAAGGAGAACTGGGCAATTGTTTCCCTTTTTTGTGCCTTTTGTGCCTTTGAGTTTTGTGCCATGTGCATATATTACCTATTTAAAAAATAAAATAATTAAAAGAAATTTTTTTTGCCTCTCATTCCCTGGAGCCTCCAAGATTTTCGGTTTCAGATCCATTTCTTACTGATGGGAATGAGAGCCACAGCCCAGGCACGATGCACCCCGTGGACTTCCAGCAAGTCGGGGACCCTCTCTGGTCCCATTGCTCCCCGGCAGGAGGAGGCTGTCCCGTCTCCTCTCCCTCTCCCCTCTGCCCTCCTCTTCCACCCCCTTGCCTATTCTCTTTCTTATCTCACCTCTCTCTGCTTCCTTCTTTGACTCTTTCTCCCCCTCCTTTTTTCCCCTCTTCCTCTTCAATCCTCCCTTCCCTCCCTCTCTGGCTTCCTTGCCCCCTCCGCGCTTGGGGGTTCTCAGTCTTTTTCCCTTCTTCCTTCTGCTTCCTTCCTTCCCCCATGAGAACCCAAAAGGCAGATCTGATGCCCAGCTCTCCACTCACACACTTGACCCTGGGCAAGTCACTGACCTCTTGGGCCTCAGTTTAACAGATCGTTGTCTTGGTTACGTGAGATCACAAGGGTGGAAGACCCAGCACAGTGCTGGGCACTCAGAAAAGCATGGCCCTCCCCTACCCTTTTAGGAGCTCGCTGGGCCTGGGGTTGTTGATTATCAGACCCTTCCGGCTCCGGATTGCTTAGAATCTGGGCGCTATTATTCTGAAGGCTTTGAATAACAGCGGATCCCTGGGGGTGTGAGGTCTAGGGAGGAGGCCTCTGGCACATTTTGGGAGGAGGGGAAGTGGAAGGAAGGGTAAAGAGGGCTTGCTGGTGTGTGAATGGACACAGATATTGCGACTTACTGCACAGAGAGTGAGAGTCATTTTGCCCATTTTTAGAGATGCGGGGCCCTGAATCTTTTGGGGGCTTCTGTATCCAGGCCCCTTGGGCTTGGCCAGACTTGGGATAATGGAATCTCTTTCCTCTCCTGGTGGCCCCTCAAGACTCAGGCCTAAGGAGCACGTGGCTGACAGAACATAATGTCTGCACGGATGGCAATGAGCACCGCTCTCCCTGCTTACAAACAGCAAAGACTCCACGCCTGTCCCTGGATGCAACCCAGGCTCCTCGGCCTGACACTCAAGGCTCTTTGCTTTCTTGCCTTGTCTTGTTGCTAGTCATGGTTCCTTTGTTCTTTTCCACCTTCTTGCCTGTGCTCAGGCTGGTTCGACATTCCCTTTCCCTTGCCTGCCTCCCTACCTGTGGCCCAGACCAAAATAATCATTCCCCCACGCACGTAGCACCTCTCTCTTGTTCCCTCACCCCCTGAAAGAATGACACTATCTGTTTAACATGTGTGTTCTCTTTGTAGGCCTGTGAACTCCAGAGGGCCCAGGACATGCCTTATTCATATTTGTGCCCCCTTACCAGGCCAAGCACATGGAAGGCCTTCAATAAAATGCTAGTGATGAAATGAAGGAATGAGTAGATAAATAAGCATATAAAGAAACCAAACCAAGACATGAATGAATGAAGAATGAACACATCAAGCAGGACCTGGTTCTCGTGATGTAGACCCACCCCACACACATGCAGTCAGCTGGGACATGGCCTTCTTGATGGGGAAGTGGAGGGTAGGAATGGAGCTGCTGCCGAGTCAGCCGCCTGTCCTCTACTCTTGGGGAGGGGCCTTGGTCACCTTCCTAGGGAGTCCTGAGGACTTGTGACCTGGACCCCCTAAAGAGTCCCAAGTACAGATGCAAAAAAAATCAGTGAAGTTGGAAGTGAAATAGATCTAATGGTGAACCTAGACCTTGTGAATCCCTGCTCTTCGCTGCCAGTGAAGAAACACTTAGGGGCTTGGGATTCCACTGATGGGAATGGGGCAGGCTAGTCTTAGTGGGAAGAAGATCTAAAGCAGAGGGTTAGACTACACACGGGAGGGATTGGATGCTCAAGAAGTTCTTCTGCAGTGGAGTGGGCTCACCAGAGATCAATGGATCAAAAAATGTCTCTATTCATCCCTGTCTTCCAGACTAGATCAGGAGCTCACTGAAGACAGGGATCTTGTCCAATACTTCCCTATTTTCCCATAACTCAGCATAGCACCTGGAGCTCAGTTAATACTGGCAGGATGCATAGATGGGTTGATGGGTGGATGGATGGATGGATGGATGAGCCAATGGATAAACAGATTGAGAAGTGGAGATATGGTGGATAAACATAAAAATATAGGGGCGCCTGGGAGGCTCAGTCAGTTAAATGTCTGACTTCGGCTCAGGTCATGATCTCACAGTTTGTGAGTTGGAGCCCCGCATCGGGCTCTGTGCTGACAGCTCGGAGCCTGGAGCTTACTTCGGATTGTGTGTCTCCCTCTCTCTCCATTCCTCCCCCACTTGCACTCTGTCTCTCTCTCCCTCTCTCAAAAATAAAGAAAAATTAAAGAAAAAATAAAAAAACAGATGAAAATATAAAGTGATGGATCAGTCACAGATGGATGGCCTAATAGATGAGGATATAGATGGCTAGATGGACAAATAAACAGACGAGCGGATGGATGAATGGACTAACCAATAAATGGAAGAATAAATGAACAACTAGATAAACTGATAAATAAATAAATGTATGGTTGGCTCGATGGGTGGATAGATGGATGGACATACAGACAGATGAAAAAAAAGCAGGTAGGAAAATGAATGATGGACCAATAAGAAAGGTTTGTAAGCTAGGAAGGCTAGATTGATATTCAGGCATTGGCCAGGAGTGGGGAAACTGAGAAATCTGGGCTGAGAATAGAGCCCTAGGGATCTGGAATAAGCAGCAGTTTTGGGAAACTGGGATGGGAGGACCCACGACCATCCTCTGATGGAAGGGAGGCTGGTGTGAAGGAAAACTCAGAGGGAAGGCCAAGTAGCACTATGCTGAGGACCTTGCCCTGGAGGCCAGTCCCAGGCTGGATAGCACATAAGTGTTGGGGATCCAGGACCCAGAAGAGCAAGGCCTGGCACTCTGCTAGATCAGAGCTCTCAGCCAGCCAGGCTGAGCCCAGAGAGTGAAGGCCCCAGTAGCCACCACTACCAGCTCTGACCCCAAGCAAGTGACTGTTGGCCACATGGCATCTCCAGAGCCCTGGGCATTTGTGGGGTTCAGGGTTAGGGGCCTCAGCAGGGCCTGAGGGCAGCAATGGCCTCCCTGTGGTAGAGCTAGTCTTCCTCCCCGCCACCCTTTCTCCCTACCCCGGCCTCCAAGACCGCCCCTCACAGTTCCAGCTTCCTCTGGGCAGGGGGCCTGGCCCCCATGGCCTCCCAGGCCAGCCCCTGGAGCACCACCTGCCCCAGCCGGCCAGAGACTTCCTGTCGCGCAAGAGATTTATGCAAACGGGCTGGGGCGGTGATGTCACCCCAAGGGGACTATCTCCCAGTGGCAGGCCCTTCGATAAAATCAGGAACTTGCGCTGGCCCTGCAATGTCAAGGGAGGGGGCTCACCCAGGGCTCCTGTAGCTCAGGGGGCAGGCCTGAGCCCTGCGCCCGCCCTGAGTTCGTCCCAGCCCCTGACGGGGCGCCCCATCCTGAGGGGCTCCGCACTGGCCCCCACCGAAGCAGGGGACCTGACCGGCTAGGAGCTCGGCTGGATGTTACAGGCGTGCAAAATGGAAGGGTTTCCCCTCGTCCCCCCTGTGAGTACTGGGACTCCTCTACTGGCTCGACCCGCGGCCCTCCGACGCCCGTCCGCCTGCCCACCGGCCCACCAGCCAGCTGCCCTCCCGGCTGGCTATCAGTGGGAAATTGGTGTTTCCTCCCTGGAGCTCCTGGTCTGAGATCCAGCCAGGGGGCCACGGGTCTCTTCAGAGCTTGCCCTGGCGGCTGCGGGCTCTGGGCCCATGGTGGGGCTGTGATCGGTGGGGCCTGAACGGTTATTTATAGATGGGGTTTGGTGGCAGGCGAAGCTCCTGGGCAGGGTGCTGGGGTGAGGATGGCGAGGGCACTGGCGGAGAGGTGGCGGAGGAGGAGATGGGGAGACTGGGGGGGGGGGGGGGAGCCAGTCCCCAGGACGGTAAAGGCTTAAGGACAGGAGGCAACAGGCCAGATGTCTCAGTCCACCGCCGGGTGCTCCTGGAGACGAAGGCCACTTTATGTCTGGGTTCCCAGTGCCCAGTCTGGAGCCTGGCACAGGGGACATGGTTGTTGACCCAAGGGCCTGGGCCTTGGGCTGGCACTCCCAGGGGCTGGGGCAGGGGCTGGGCAGCAAGGAGTGGAGCAGAGACTAGGACGCCAGGCTGGGGCCTTGGCCGAAGCAGGAGAGGAGGGCAGGGGCTGGAGCTGGGCTCGGCCGGGCAGGGGCTGAGGCTGGGACGGGGACCTAGAGGTGAAGCAGCAGGAGTCCCAAGGGACCCCTGGAGGGGAAGGGCAGGTCCCCACCGCTCCTGCTCTCTGTGACAGTTAAAGCCTCAGGCAGATGCAGACCTGGGCCCCTCAGAGAGGACCCCTCTCTCTTTCCCACCCCATCCCCACTCAGCAAGGGTGGGGAGCCCTGAGAGAGCCGGGAAGGGCTTGGCGGGGCCTGCCCACCTGACTCAGCTTTCCCGGCCTGGAGGCCGCTCCCTCCCCCCACCCCACCCCAGTCAGGCCTGGGCCCGGGGAGGCACCCCAGGTCCCACCTCCTGCTGTTGGGCTGCGCTGCCGCTGCCGGGAAACCCAGTGCTGGGCTCCCGGCCTTCTTACTGTCCAGACACAGACCACCCGAGCCAGCCAGCCAGCCCTGGAGCCTGGCCCTGTCCCACCCTCCCCCGCCATCGCCAGGGAGGAGAGGAAGGGGCAGGCAGGAGGGGATGGAGGTGGTCCCAGGAAGAGCCAAGTCTGCCTCAAGAAAGCCACAGGCCCAGGGGCTTGACCACACTGTCTCTGACCCTTGACCTCTCAATCCCTGAACTCCAGACGCAGCTGGGCAGGAGGCACATCTTGGGCTGCTCTACCAAACCCCTCAGAGAAGGGAGTACTCCCGGGAAGGTGGGCTCCCAAGGCAACCCCGGCCCCCAACCCAACAACCCAAGCCCTGAGGGCCCGAGTCACTGTTGTGCAATCCCTGCGCGCACACTGTGGGGGTGGGGAGAGGCCTGAGGACTGTTGTAAAGACTCTGAGTGTGCATGTCCCTGTGCTGCACCAGGATGCAGAGGAGTGAGGGGGCGGGGGGGGGAGGGGAGAAGATGCCAGGGAGGGGTGGGAGGGGAAGGTGGGGGGGATAGGGGTAGAGAGGAAGACACCTTGGAGTGAGAGGTATGGGGGAGAGGGGGAGAGGGGACAGGCAAGAGTGGGGAGGGGGAGGGGGGAATGAAGGAGGACAAGGAGGAGTGGGGGTGGAGGGGGAGGAGGACAGGGAGGAGTGAGGGGCTAGAGAGGGAGGAAGGAGAGAGGGCAGGGAGGGCTGGGGGAAGGAATGAGGGTTGAGGGGAGGAGGGAAGGGAGGAAGGGAAGGGAGTATCCCAGTGGGTGTGTCAGGAGGGACAGAGGAGGGAGAGCGAGAAGGACCAAGGCTCTAGCTGGCCCGTGCCCCTCACCTCGCCCGGTGAGCACTATACAATGCACGAGTGTGAGCGGCCACTGGTCATCATGAGGGTGCCTGGGCCCGGGCGTGGGCTGTGGAGACGGGGGCAGGAAGACAAGCGTGTGCGCTATGGGGGTGGGTGTGCAAGTGGCATGTGCGTGACCATGAAGGGTGTGGGTATGGGCCTGTGGTTAAGGTGCTTGAAGGCAAGTATGAGGATACGTGTAGTAATTCAAGTGGCTACGTATGCCTATAGGGTGAGTGTGCAACAATGTGTGTGAGTGTGACCACACGTGTGTGTGAATGTAAGTGACCTGTGCAGTGAGGGTGAGGGTGGGTAGCCGTGTGGGTGTGAGTTCGTGTGTGGGAGTGTGCATGTCACGGGGAGTGTGTGTACATTTGGAGGTGTAGGTGTGTCGGTGTGAACGTGAGAGTTCACGTGTGAGACTGGGACCCAGGGTGCAGGTGTGAGTGTGGCTGTGCAGGGGTGGGGGGTGCAGGGAGGCCACGCTCTCCTCTCAGCCTTGGTCCTCTCTTGACTTCTGACCTTCGGGGTCCCCGTCAGCCCCTTTCTGCAGGAGCCAAGGGTCTTGCTCTCCTGTCCCCACTGCGGCCTCTCTCAGTTCCAGGCAGAGGTGGCTGTAGGCCTGACGCGGTCCCTTCGGTGTGGGAGGGCGGTGCGGCCCCCACATACCGGGGCTGCCAGCCTGGCTGCGGGGTCCCGGCCACCCTCCGAGTCCTGACAGCCTCCTCTCTCAGCAGCCATCGGAAGACCTGGTGCCCTACGACACGGACCTGTACCAACGCCAGACGCACGAGTACTACCCCTATCTCAGCAGCGATGGAGAAAGCCACAGCGGTGAGTGTGCGCCGCCCCGGCCTGGCCTGGGCACCTCGGTTCCCCGGCTTCTCTGGGACTCTGAGAATTGGACGAAACTAGCTTTCAGAGGCCATGAACTCATTACTCTAACCCCCACATCTCACACCCCCAGCCTGCATTTATTGAGCGTCTTTGGTGTGCCAGGGCACGAGTTTAGCTCCGTCCAGTTTACTGTCTGCTCTAATCTTTGTGGCCTTTTCACAAATGAGGAAACGGAGGCTCGGGGAGCTAAGTGACCTGTACAGGGTCACACAGCTGGTCGGTGGAACCCAGCCTGTCGCCCCAGGTCCAGGGCTTCTTCCTCTCCCCTCCCCCCAGACCCCTTCATCCTCTCTGCTGTCATCACCCCCTTGCCCTGAACTCCACATTGGGGCAGCTCTGCTCCCTGCTGTGTTCTTAACTTCTATCGACATTTGGGGCCGGAGGGTGTCGTTGGTGTGGCAGCCTGCCCTGTACATTGTAGGATATCTGGCAGCATCTTCTACCCACTAGATGCCAGAAGTACCACCAGTCACTATGACCAAAAATGTCTCCACGCATTGGCAAATGTCCCCCGGGGGGCAGAATCACCCTCGTGTGAGAACTGCTCACTAAGGGAAGGGCTCTGAGGCCCCCCCTCATTCAGCAGGGGCTGGAGCCCCAGTTTGCTGGGGTGGGAGTGAGGATGGAGTGTGGGCCAAGGGGTCCTTCTGTCCATCTCGCTGCCCATGCCAAGGGCCAGTCTCGACCCTGGAGCAAATTCAGGGCGGATGGGGACAGGCAGTAGGTGCCTGGGGCCCAGATGGGGCATTCTGAGAGGACACCCAAAGGGGATCTTGGCGTCTGCATGGGACACCCCTCTGAGCCCGAGTTAGACGGACTGGTGAACAGGTCTTTTCTAGTTCTGGGGGATTTTCTAGTTCTGAAACCGGGGCAGGCCAGACACTGGGGGACTGCAGCCCCAGAGGGAGAGGCCGGCCGGGTGCCACAGCAGAGGAAGGTGTCACACTGTCCGGCCACACCTGGGGGCCGGTCACACCTGCAGCTCCATTCTTCAGACACACGGATGGCAGTGTCGGCCTGCTGGCCCCATCCAGGGATGCCGCACGAGGCCAGCCCGTCTCTAGGGCTCTGACCTCCAGATGCCGAATCTGGGAACGCACACCTGGGGGCCGTGTCTTGGGAGTAGGTGCTAGATGTGTCTCCAGTCCTCGTGGGGGGCACAGACTTCTTTCAGAATCCCAGGGCTAGGAAGGGTGTAAAACATCTTCTTTTTCATCCTTTAAAACTTACGATTCTGCCAGCAACACATTCTCTCTGTAGAAAAGCCAGACGATTGAGAGGGAAGGTCTCCCTCACCCACAACTCTCCCCATCTCCCAGGGTCAAGGGTGGGTCTCTCTGCCCTAGAGACCAGCAGTGGTGACTCCTGTCCCTGGCAGTTCAGGACCTGAGAAGTGCCCTCTGGCCTTGAGGACTGGCTCCCCCTGGTGGCTCCAGGCAGCGGGACCGCCAGGTCCCCGCAAACTCAGCAGGGCCTGGGACTCGCTTCTGACATTAGGGACCTCTTCCCCGTTGGCCTAACCTCCACTCAGTTTCACTGGGTTTGGGGTCATTTCCTTTGGGCCTGCTGCAGCCTCAGTTTCCCCTCGTAATATGAAGGTGTGTGCACGCATCTAGAAACCTGCTAGACCAAGGGGCGGGGCTGATGAAGTGAGCACTTTAGAGAAAGCTTGTGCTTTCCTGGCTCGGTGCCCAGGCAAGTCCCTTATATGGGGGCTGGAGCTATAGGAATGACTCCTGATTAGATGCCCGAGCACTCTGTTTTGGTCATGCCCCAATTCCTTCAGAGATTCCTCTGGTGTCCCCTGTGTCCTGGCCCCGACTCCCCACACCCCCTGCCTCCTCATTGCCCCTCTGGGCATCTCTGCTGATCTGTGCACCTGTTCTGTCTTTTCCTAATGAAGACCCAAGAGTAGAGACACCCCACATTCTTCCACTCGTTCCTGCATGCCCTCTGGGTCTACATTTTTAGGTGGTTGAAACTTATTAAAAAGGCATGGGGGCTGGACCGGGGTCTGGTCCCGGTTCTATCACTCACCAGCATGTGTGACCTTAGAACAAGTGACATAACCTCTCCGAGCCCCCGCTCCCTCATATATGGAAGTGAGAGCATGGAAACACTGACCTCGCAGAGCCATGATGACTCACCGAGTTAATGCATGAAAGGTGTGAGGTGCTGAGCATAAGGCCCAGGGAGCTTTTGGGCCAGAGTGTGTTAGCTTTACTCCACCCCCCGCGGGGGAGAGGAAACAGCTGGGAGAGTGGGAGACGCACAGAGGACTCTGCGACAGATCAACTGCGTCATTTTCAACTGATCTAGGTGACAGCCACCTGGCCAGCCACCCACCCGTTCCACCACTTGCCCTTGCAGCCACCCACTCATCCTCCCAACACTTAACCATCTTTCCTCAGGCCCACTCGTCCCTCATTTTCCCATCTACCAAATAGCTCCCAATTGGATGCCATGGGCCAGACATCGCTCTAGCTGCTGGAGGTTCCCTGATAAGCAAGCCAGACAAGGCCACTGCTCTCACAGAACTTACATCCCAGGGAGGGGAAGGGCGGCAGTCAACTAAGCAGACATTCAACAAGCAGTCTTATAAAAAGCTAAGTAACATAACGCAGAATGCCTGTGTTAGGGGCTCCTTTCATTCAGGTGGGCAGGGAGGGCCTCTGAGGAGGGGACAGTTGAGGTGAAATCTGAGTGAAGAGAAGGACCATGCACGCAAAGGTAGAGAGAACGGCGAGTGCAATGTAGCATTGATCCCGAGAGACGGCCCAGGTGGCCAGTGCATGCGGGGCAGTAGTGGAGCCCAGGGGGGAAGCCCAAGGCACCTGCAGAGTATAGATCACACAGTAGCTGAAGGTCACCGCAGGAGTTTAGGTTTTATCCTACAAACAGTGGGAATGGAAAGCCATTGGAGGGTTTTGAGCAGGGGAATGACATGGTCTGAATTATCATGTGTGTGTGTGTGTGTGTGTGTGTGTGAGTGTATGTGTCATAAAAATCTAAATGAATTTTAAATTTTTAGTTTTTGATTATTAAAGTAATCAATGCTCATTGCAAACAAATTAAAAATACAACAGCTTTGACAAGAAAAACATTCCCTCTTCCCAACCTCACCCCCCACTGGTAGCACCTTAGTTAATGCTTGCAGACATTTGACTCCACATTTATGCTCCTGTGTGTCTGTCAGTGTAGATATACACATATGCACATTCTGTTCACCCAACAATGGATTGTAGCCCCATGCTATTCTGCAAGCTGCTGTTTTTTACTAACGCTTGTCATCGGCATTTCTTCATGACATACATGGCCCGGAGGGGATGGATAAAAGCTAGTCTTTCTCTCCAGTCTTTCTCTCACAATGCTAAGTAAATAGACACACAAAGATTTGAAATAGAGAGTTAGTACATTATTCATTTATTCATTCACAAGCATTTAATGCGTACCTTCTATACGCTGGGTGGAGATGAGTCTTGCTTGAATTTTCAATTTGAGACGTTATCTAATTTTCTATCTCGTCCTATGAAAGATGAGACTCTGGCTTTGCAGTCCTTAGGAGCACACAGGCTCTCACACTTCACATACACCAGAATGGTTATACAGTAACTTTGTTCCATTTTATTGATGTAATTGATGCATAACTCTGTGTAGGTTTAAGGCGTTGTGCATAATGACCTGACGTGTGTAGATATTGTGAAATATCCCTCACCTCATATAGATACAGAAAAGCTTTTCTCCTTGTAATGAGAATTTTAGGATCTACTCTCATAACAACTTTATTTTTATTTATTTTTTGTTTATTTGGTTTTGAGACCGAGAGAGACAGAGCATGAGCAGGGGAGGTACAGAGAGAGAGGGAGACACAGAGTCTGAAACAGGCTCCAGGCTCTGAGCTGTCAGCACAGACCCAATGCGAGGCTCGAACTCACAAACTGTGAGATCATGACTTGAGCCAAAGTCAGACGCTTCACCGACTGAGCCACCCAGGCACCCCACTAGCAACTTTCAAATACAGTAAAACCTTGGATTGCGAGTAACCTGTTCTCCCAGTGTTCCCCAAAGCAAGCAAACATTTCTAATACAGTTTAACTTGATACACAAGTGATGTGGTACACGATGCTGAATGTCACATGATCTCAACTGAGCAAACGGTTCTTGAAATTTGCTTTGGTATACAAGTGCTTTGAATTACAAGCATGTTTTTGGAACAAATTATGCTTGCAAACCAAGATTTTACTGTCTACCATACTGCATTGCTAACGGTGGTCACTATGCTGTACATTGCGTCCCCGCACTTATAGCCGGAAGGTTTTTTTTTTTTAAGTTTTATTTATTTAAGTTATCTCTACACCCAACATGGGAATTGAACTTACAACCTTGAGATCAAGTGCCACATGCTCTTCCAAAAGAGCCAGGCAGGCGCCCCTTATAACTAGACGTTTGTACCTTTTGACCACATTCCTCCACTTCCCATGACCCTGACACTGGCCTCTGGCAACCGCAAATCTGATCTCCTTGTTTATAAGTTCAGGATTTTGAGGGGGGGGGTTGTGTTTTTGGTTTTTTTTAGATTCCACATATAAGTGAGACGATGCAGTATTTGTCTATCTTTGTATAGTAACTTTTGTTAAATCAGTGTCTGAACTTTCCAGTATTATGGCCATGTGGAGATTACTCACAGCTGAGCCACATGGTGTATTTTGACTACCTGAACTCTCTCATCCCCGAAAAAGAGAACAAGGGGCAGGCGAGCAAGGAGATAGTGCCTCATTCTGGAACCAGGCTGCTGCGATTCACACCCTATCTCCCCATTACTGTCTGGGGTGGTCATGGGCAAGATATTTCACCTGTTTATGTCTCAACTTCTTCATAAGATACCTACATCATAGGATTGCTGTAAAGATCGAATGAGTCACTGTACGTAAAATCCT